AAAATCAACCAATCACCATGAGAGGTGACTAATAAACTCGTGGAGAAATCTACAAGCTCACTTCAACAAATTGAAGTATGCGCTGTAGATGTTGCCTAGTAGGGGGCAATGAAAGCTTCACAAATAAACCATCCATCCAGCTCAGAGAACACAACTACTTCGAAATCATCCACCTGAGCTACAAATCCTCTCCATTATATTTAAATTTTCTAACCCTGGCTGACTTTGATAACCACTTCCGTAACGCCTCTAGTTGAAACGATGCTGCCTAGGTCAGGTAATTGAAAGAGGTGACTTCCGCTCGGATTAATCCAGTTGACGGTAACTGACTCTTGTTGTTGTTTTGTAGTTGGTTGGTTATTTAGCTTCATCACCTCTGTCTCCTTTACATTCACTTGAATTCTTGTCCTCACTACTTCTTCCATCAACTTTTTGGTTTTCGTCTATAGATCTTCATTAGACATAACCCTCCCCCCTCGCGAAGTTCAAATCACCTAGAGTCTTCTTGTCAGTGTAACATATGCCCCATTTTCTCACTCCTCACCCACAATGGTCTATTGCATAATCCAGTCCATCACACTTATGAAGATCATTAACAGCAGTAGCCAGCCTTGTCTTATTCACGTCTTCATTTCAATTGCTTCACTGCATTTGCCATTGTGAATCATTTAGCACATGTCAGTAGAAGTGTTAATGTTATGAGAATAATAAAAATTCATATTACATAATAATGATAAGATTTTCATTGGACACTAGTAAGTAGTGTGACGTGTCTAGTCCTTTCTTTGGTGCAGACTGAATTCTATCAGTCAGGTTTGCAATGTGGCCACCATTCCAGGTGGCTCGCCATCACGGTGCACATTGATTTGATGATATTAGATGGCTGAAGGCAGTCAGCCACATGAAGCCTTTCTTGACCTAGATTTCATGCTAGTCGGCACTTACCAGTCAGAAAGGCGTATCTGCAACTACCTTGAAGGAACCCATGTCCCTCCTGAGATTCGAACCTGTGTGACCCGGTGCTGCAGTCAAAGACGTCCAAGGCTTCCTGCCAATTGCCTTCAATTATCTAATATCATTAAACCAATGTGCACCGCGATGACGAGCCACCTATAATGGTGACCACATTGCAAGCCTGACTGATAGAATTCAGTCTGCAACAAAGATAGGACTAGACACGTCACACTAGTTACTAGTGTCCAATCAAAATATCCAATACAGTCCTACAGCAGATCAATCAAGAGCCAGTCCGAATAGCTCAGTGGTAACGTCTGTGAATGCAGCACTCACTGGGTGACGTAGGTTCGAATCTCAGAAGGGATATGAATTCCTTCAAGGTAGCAGATACATCACCCTGGTGATTAGGGAGTGCCAACTAGCACAAAACCTAGGTCCATGCAGTGCTTCCTTTGGCCGATTGCCTCCAACTATCTAATAATGATAAGATTAATAATCATGTTGTGTAAACCCCTGTTTGTTTCTCTGTGTAGCATTTTCTCCCTTCCGTTGTTTAACACACACACACATGTCATACATAATCAACCTGTCAAATGACTGTGGGCATTATTTCCACATTCATTCTTATTCTTATTCTCCCCTTTTTGCATAAATCTTACCTCCGCAGGACAAGAAGAAGCTTTCGCAACATAATAATAATAAGTTAACAGTCTTATATTATACTTCTTATTAATAATGTCTGCCTGTTAATTATTTAATATGGCATCGCGATGATATTACTGAGGCATTTCGCCTTCTAGAAAACAAAATTCTATGATAAATGGCGATGATTTACTTCTATTATCAAATGTTGCATACCAGTGAAGTTGATTTATAGGATTACTGAGAAAATAAAATTAATAGGGAAATGGAAAGGCCAGACAGTCTTAAAAAACACGTATGATATATATATATATATATATGTGAAAAATCTGATTTATATATATTCGCCGTTCTTCATAATAATAATAAATAATAATAGCTCCATTATGGATAAGATTTTATTTTGATAAATCACACAGTGTTGCACAGTAATAATAAAAAATAATTGTGAAACTAGTAATGATAACATAAATAAGAGAGAATATAAGTCATCTACTGTGATACCATATAAGGAGGGGACATCTGAGACCCTCATTTTAATAAAGCAGGAATTAGGGTGGCATTCAAACCTACAAACTCACTCAGGTAGGACAAGCTCTGTAGGCTAAAAGACCCGGTGGACCCAATTAAACAAAATAATATAATTTACAAAATACCTTGCAATGACTGTGAGTTAAGTCAACTACATAGGTCAAACTAGTAGATCAGGAGTAGTGAGATTGCCTGTCAGAACATAAGAATTTAGCTAAGGTAAGAATGGTTGACCCCGAGAAGATAAGTAATTTAGAAAAGAACTAAGCAATCGCACTGCATGCATTTACACACAGTCAGGTGGGACAAGTAAATAGGTAATATAGGTAAGTGGAGGGAGAGAGATTGATTACTGAATCCTGGTTCATCGACTCTACACCCAACACATGCAACAGAAATGACTCAATGCAAATACCAGAGATTTGGAAGATATTATTACCACCAATCAGTCAGTCAAATCAGAGAAGGATAATAAATAATCTTAAAATTCTATTTCAATTCAAGCACATTATAACATTCTAACAAGTTACTTATTTTGACTATTAAAAACACTCGTCTTATTTCCCATCTGATTGTAATTGATTAATAACACTCATATTATTATTTCTGAATGTACATTATCCCATATTGATTTTTATTCTAATGTCTAATTATCAATTCCACACATGTATATAAATGAAGGAAAAAGTTGTGTGAGTAGTGCCTTGATATGATTATGAGTGGCAATAGTTTGTGCTCGAAATGTCGTCATCAGTAAATATTACTGTATAACACTACACTGTGTGATTTATCAAAATAAAATCTTATCTATAATGGTGTTAAACTCTACCAACACAGTGCCCAAGTTTTATACTTATATCAATAATCGAATAATTTTTGCTCAATCATTTTTTCTTCTAAATGTTCAAGTGGGAATTTTCGCTAAATTTATATGTAATGTCTCCCTTCGTTACTACAACTGTCTCGTAATGATAGAGAACATGTACGCCTCATAGAGAACATGATCCTGAAAATTCGCTGTTTTAGATAGGTGGTCTCTCAATCACCACAAACCTTGATAACGACAATTTTTGCACTAACTTTAGGACAAGGTGAATCACACGACTTTCTCTACGGCTGACTAAGACGCTAATTCAGATATATCTGCTTGTGGCTACTTTTCACCGTGATTTTGTGATCATTCTCTAAATATGAGACATTTGATTAGTTATCCCGGGATTCTGAACTCTCCTATCGTTTGTGGTCCATTTTATTTTTATTGGTTGATTGATCGGTCGTGCAATTTCACGAAGCTGTTCACTGTAACTTTCCCATGTCCTCTAAGCCATGAGCCACACTCAGGAATTGTGAGCTTCTGATACTTCTACGTTGTTGACAGCAAATGAGAAGGGTGAGTAATGAACTATCTGAGATACTGACGACTGGTCAGGTGGTTTAAAGCAATGTTCTGAGTGACTAGCAATCGATCTTATTACTGTCCAATCGAATTCGCAATTTGCAAATTATTTCAGGACTTCAGTTTCCAATTTCACCACGGTTCTCTTGGAATTGCTAGATAGAATTTGATTGTCACTTCAGATTGATTTGGCTTTGTAAGCTGAATCAAACTTGGTTCACCACCGATGAGTTCAGCCTCAAATCAACGAAGCCAGCCGTTTGGTGTTTAGAACAATTCGATCGGGATAACAAGTGGTCCAAGGAAAACGGTCTTACCTTAAACCCCTCCAAATGCCAAACAGTCATTTTCACCTTTAGGCACAAATCCGACCTAAACAAACTGGTTGGCTCTCACGAGGTGTGCAACATTGATGGCACTGAAACAGAAACCAATTCGGAAATTAAATACCTAGGCGTCATTCTATCTGCTGATCTCTCCTGGTCGTCTCATATCTTAGCAATCTCTAAGAAAATATTCCGTCTTACCTTCTACATCAAGAAGTTAAAATATTCTGGTTTAACCCAACCCTTACTCCTACAATTCGTTAACTCTCGCATCCTGCCTATAATTCTCTATTGTTACCCCTTAGTTTTTCCCGGGCTACTGAAGAAAGACTATAACATATTACGCAGGGTAAGCAACGTGCCACTTAACCAGCTTGTTAATATTCTGGTCGACAGGCAGGCACATGGACTCATGCGAAAAATGGGCTAAATCCATTCTATCTAACTAACACCACCCTCTTCACTCACAACTCTCCCCTTGCATCTCATCAGGCAAAACCAGAAGCCTATACAGAAAACTATATGCTCGCACCAGCAAGTACAAAAACTCAACCATACCCTACTTAGCTCGTGTTCTGTGAGATAAAGAAAGCATTAGGCGTGACACCTATAATTCATTAAATAGTCAGTAGAACAACTGGATCTCATCTTTCCAACTCATATCATTTATAGGTACAACATTTTCTTTCTTTCTTTTCCTTTTCTCTCCCTCTTTTCTTCTTTTTTTTTCCGTAATATGCTGCTTTGTTTCTTTCTCCCGCTTACGCCAGTAAATATGATAGCACTTACTTTTCTAAAACCTTCAAAAACTGTTCAACTTTGGCTTTGCTACCGACATGCCAATATGTTGTTGTCATAATGAACTGAGATTTCCTTAGTCTATGTAGAATTCTATTTATTGATAATGTACTAACTGGATGCAATACTGTAGTAAAAATGCTGAGAATTCCATTCTGTATCACAAGTAATGTTTTGGAATAAAGCAAATTATTATTATTATTAAGTGAGTGGTGTTCAACTGCTTATTTCAGTCAACCAGTACTAATTACTGTTCGACTGGATAAAAAACTGAAACTTTTAAATAAAATGTTAAGTATCATTTCTATTGAACTAGAAATCATGATTATTGATTTTTTGTTTCCTTTTAGGCTCGTGCCTATTTAGAATCATTGCCTCATCGGGCAAAAGTCCCATGGAAACAACTCTATCCATATGCTAGTGAATCAGGTGAGGCTCTTCTTTTTTTAATTTATGCGATCAGTCCTGAATATACTTGCTATTCTAATATTTTGCATGGCACACTGTATCATTAAATCTAACCAGTTGGAGTAAATTGACTATAGTCCTTTGAATTTGAGGTGATGGATTCATTCTGACACGCTACCAGAATTTTCTTAGCTAAGTGTATGGAATAACTATCCTTGATAAATTATACCGCATCTAAATCCTCGGCCTCTGTTATCACGTTGGCTCCTAATCCGGGAGTTCTGACCATACCTTGAGATCAGTTTGAATGGGATCGAAGACGTGCTTCTTGTCTCACTTGAAACTCATCGGGTGGATGTGCAGGTATCCCTAGTGAATGACAGTGTTTCCAATAAGACTGAGGACCACGACTTACCGTTCCAATTGCAGAAGCGTCAGCTAAGTCCGAGGTCGGGAAATTCAATGCCATATCCAGAAATAACAAGGGACACCAGTTGCACAATTAGGTTGTTATTGTGACGCAGTAAAGTACCCGCCTATTCAGAAATTAATGCAGAATAGACAGGCCAGTCTTCCATTGGCTCATAAATTAATGAACTATGTCATGCGACTTAGACAACTCTTATTCCATGGCATCTGATGGTGAAATCCTAGCCGTGAGCCTGATTAATGCTCAGCTCAATGCTGTAACGATTACAGTCCTCCTCCTGATGACAGTCAGTTAGATCAGCAATGAAGTATTTCAGGAAATATCACTTTGCATTAAAGTAAGCTGTGGAGATGTTTTTTGGGAGGACGATGGAAGTTTCGCAATAAAAAACAACCTGTTCGGAGAACAAATTTTCTCCGTTATTTCAAAAGCAGATATGTGTTGTCTTCCACCCAAGTGTTTGTTCTCCCTCTGTCGAATTCATCTGTAATTCTATGGCAGAAACCTGATTGAAATACTGTACTTGGAAGTGGCAAATATTACGTATACCTCTACAAAGACCAATTATTACCCAGGGAAGAGTGATATGGCAAACTGATTTTAAACCTTTATGTACGAATAGAACTTGGGCTCAATCATCAAGGAAGTGGAGCAAAGGAAACACTGGGCTGAACACTTCAAAAGACTCCTAAATCGACCACCACCTACAACGCGCCCAACAATACCAACGACGGAGACAGAGCTACCAGTGAATACCAACCCCCCGACGAAATCAGAAGTCCTGAAGGCAATCAAGATGCTAAAAGCTGGAAAAGCAGCAGGACCAGATGGAATCCCAGCAGAAGCATTGAAAACGGACCCAGAGACAACAGCAGGCTTGATGACGCCACTACTGGAGAAGGTATGGAAGGAGGGCAAAGTACCCGAGGATTGGAAGAAAGGATACTTATTCAAGTTACCAAAGAAAGGAGACTTAAGTCGATGCAAGAACTGGCGCGGAATTATGCTCCTGTCCATCCAAAGCAAAACACTAAGCCTCATCATCCTGGAGATAATCAAACATGCCCTGGATGAAAAACTTTGACCGGAACAGGCTGGATTCAGGAGAAACAAGTCATGCATTGATCAGATCGCCACATTACGGATCATCATTGAACAAAGTTTGGAATGGCAGTCACCTCTCTATCTCAACTTCATCGACTTTGAAAAGGCCTTCAGCGGACAGCATCGATCGAGAGGTGATTTGGCAACGACTTAGCTACTATGGGGTGCCACCGACAATTATACATCTCATCCAACAGCTGTACGACAATGCTGCATGCGAAGTAATCCACAACGGGAAACTCACGGAATCCTTCGAAGTGAGAACAGGAGTAAGACAAGGCTGCCTAATGTCACCAATGATTTTCCTGATTGCAGTAGACTGGATACTGCCACAGACAGCGGGCAATGAGGAAACAGGCATAAAATGGACTCACACAAAAAACTTGGAGGATCTGGACTTCGCCGATGATATATGTCTGATTTCCCACAAACTGGGAGATATGCAAGTGGAAAGCAACAAGTTGGCAGAAGAAGCATCAAAAATAGGACTTCAAGTGAACATAGAGAAAACAGAGGTGATGAAGATTCCCGGCCAACACCAAAAGCAGCAACAGCATAAGACAACAATCAGCATGAATGGAAGGAACCTGAAAGAAACGACCTCTTTTACCTACCTGGGAAGCATCGTTTCAACTACAAGTTGAATTGACGAGGATATCAAAGCAATAATCAGAAAAGCAAGACAAGCTTTCACTACTCACAAATCCGTGTGAAGGTCAACCACAGTCAGCATGAAAATGAGAATAAGATAAGGATTTTCAACTCGAATGTGAAGTCAGTGCTACTCTATGGATCAGAGACTTGCACTGCGCGTCATAAAGAGCACCTCAAACAAACTACAGACCTTCATTAACAGTTGTTTTCGCTCCATACCACTCAAGATCAGATGGCCGGCCAGAGAAGATCAGCAACAAGGATCTCTGGGAGCGGACCAACTCAGCAGGAACCAATTGTGAAACAAATAGGCAAGAAGAAATGGAGATGGATTGGCTGGCCATACTCTGAGGAAACCATCAAGTGACATCACTAGACAAGCCCTTGAGTGGAACCCGAGAGGGAAGTGGCGAGTTGTTCGTCAGTGCGAAGGTGGGGTGACTTGGAGGAGGTCATGTGAAGAGGAGATGAAAACGTGTGGGCAGACTTGGAGCCAGGTGAAGACTCTAGCAGAGAACCGAACGCAATGGAGACGCACGGTTGAAGCCCTATGTCCCTCTAGGAATTAAAGGAAACAATAATAATAAATAATAAGAACTTTCTGGAGGAAATTTTAAATCTAAATAATTAATTTAGGTTGATAGTGACCAATATTAGAATACAGACCCTTGATTCCATCCTATTTGTAACGCGCCCTATGGATATACCTCCATTCCTAGTGAGTGAAGCATTCCTCCGCTGTAAAACATTGAACCTATCAGCTATCGTTTCAAATACCAAAGAGTCATCCACTGGAAGACTTGGGAAATGAAGGCCAACGGGTATCAGTTATTACTCGTCTTTGGATTTATTCGTCCCATTTCGATGATTGATCATGATGGATTGTAAAGTTCGGTCTCTGTTAACAAGTTGATTCGTAATGCAAATGCTTCAGCAATACCTTGGACTAAAGTACTTTTTGTTTGATGGTGGCTAGTACTGGAATCCAGAATACTCTTTCTGTTGTTTTTAGGAACAAGCTTTTCTGTCCAACTTAATTATTCAATAAGAAATACTAATCAGCTTTAGAGTAAATATTGAACAGAATTATTCCAGTTAATCCCTCTAACTCGATCCGAAAAAAATTGGAAGATTAAAACAACAGAAGTAAGTAACGAAACAAAACGAAAGGTGCATGGGCACAAGTGGAAATTTAGGCAGTCTCACTGGCTTAAGCTGGCACATCGTTGGGAGTGAGAAAACAGGAATAAGTGACACCAGCAAGAATACTTCGCAGATGATTTATGTTTAATGTTACATAAACTTTGGTAAAGCAACAACAACCAGCACGAAACACCATCAGTGAGAGAAATTAAAATCTCACTTATCTAAAAAGCATCCTTTCAACCTATAGGGGGAACGGATGAAGACGTAAAAACCAGAATCGTAAAAGCAGGATACGCCCTCATCAACCTGAAACCAGTTTTGAAATCTGATGCACTCAGAATAAAGGGACGAGATTTGGATTTTCAACACCAGTGTGAAGGCAGTCAGTCAGTTCTTCTATATGGGTGAGAAACTTGCACTAACTGTCATGAAAACGATTTCCAACAGGCTACTTCAAACTTTTATCAACAGTTGCTCACTTCACTGGCTGGCTCCATGCTGAAGATCAAATGGCCAGAAGGAATGAGTAAAAAGAAACTTTGGGAACAAACCAACCAAAAGCCGGTTGCTCAAGAAATATGTGGGGGGAAATGAAGATGGATAGAGTATACTCTGAGGAGTCCATCGAATGACACCAAACGCAATGCAAGCCATACCTCAAGTAGAATCTCAATGGGAATCGATGTGTGGGTTGTCGGTGCGAGGATGATATGGAGGAGATTGTGCGAACTGGAGAAGATGATAGATTATGGGCAATCGTGGCTCCAGTTCAAGAGAACAGCAGAAAACATAACAAAGTCGAGAAGTGTTGTTGAAGACATATATTGCACTCGGAACCCAAGAGAACAATAATAAACCGGTAAAAACCAACAAGTTTTTAGAAGAAACATTGAAAACAGAACTTCATGTGAACATAAACAAGACATAAGTGAAGTTAGCTAACCGACGAAACAACGGTCACCAATCACTGTCAATGGCAGAAATTTGAAGGAGGTCACTCCTTTCGCTTATTTTAGCAGCATCATTCCAACAGAATGTACGGATAAGGATAAAAGCCAGGACCAGAAATGCACAACAGACATTTATTATTCCGAAATCATTGTAGAAATGTGCTGCACTCGGCATAACGAACAAGACATGGATTTTCAAATCAATATCAATTCAGTGTTCCTATATGCGTCAGGGACTTGTCGAACACATCACCTAAACTACTTCCAACAGCAAAATGTAGTCTTCCACCAACAGTTACCTTAGCTGGCTTGGCACTGTATATCAGATGGTTGAAACGACAAGTAACTCTTGCAGACGACAAATGAGCCAATTAACTTCTGTCTTAAAAATGTGGAAACAAGTAGAGATGGACTGCATATATGCTGTGAAGACCATTGAATGAAATCATGCGCCAAGCCCTCTATGAGAACCTCAAGTGGAAACGACAGGTTGGGCATGGATCCGAGGGTAACATGGAGAAGATCGTGAGTATAGGAGATGACATCTCACAGTCAATCGTGCAGCAAGGTGAAGAGGACTGCGAAGAACAAGACGGAATGGAGGTGTACTGCTGAAACCTTATATTCCACTCGAAACCCAAGGGAATATCAACAATTGGCTTAAGCAGACCGCCGATACTAATGACCAGGAACTGGGGATATTTGACTCTTAGGCTTCGTAGAATGTGTCCTAAGGAGTAGATACTTTCTATATGACAGAAACATTAGTATTTTTTCTTGATAATAGCCATCTTTTTTAAATTTAAAAAGAACAATCAATTCAAATCAAATTTCAAACAGGATTATAAAAACAAACCTATTTGTTAATTGAAGCTTGACATAACAAGCTAATTTTCACTAATCTTGTGACGCTGGCAATTCTTATTTCTGTCATTAACAATGTGCTTATTAAAATTTAAAAAAAACAGAGAGGGAGATATATGTGTTAGCAAATAAATTAACTGAAAGGAAGAACAATACCAAAAGCACGGAATGGGAGAGAGAGAGTGATCTATCAAAACCTTATGTTCAGTCAACTTGAAAACAACTTGAATTATATAGCAAGTTGATTGATGACACAAAAAAGTGAGAAAAGAGGCAGTGTAAAATAAACTGAGTAATTATACAGGGATATTATAAGATATATATTTTTTTCTATAGTTTGGTTTGTAAGGGTTAGTTATGTTTTTTTTACGAGTTGATCACGGATTGATATCAGTTAGAGAACCATTGAAAACCAGCCACAGGGAGTACTGGACAGCTGTTTCATCCTAGTTTGGGAATCATCGGCAGTACGGACCCACTGAGATTCGAACGCAGGACCTTCCTGTTGCTAGGCAAGCTCGTATACCATTCAGTACTCCAGTACTCCCTGGATTTCAGCCGTTCTCTAACTGATATCAATCTGTGATCAACTTGCAAAAACATAACTAACCCTTACAAACCAAACTATAGAAAATTAATCTGATGCTCGCTAGCTAGTGACTTGCTACAGGATGGAGTTTCCTGGAGTTCTAGTGAGAAGTCATGACCAGTGAGGTTCAACCAGATGTCACGTGTGAGGATGGATGTCCCACCAATGACATTGATTGGGTTGGCGCTAAATCACGAATTGGTAGAAGTTAGAATTCATGAGCCATTGAATCGGGTCCCAGTGACTGAATGGTATACGAGACAGATTGCCTTGTAACCGAAAGGTCCTGGGTTCGAACTTTGACGGTGGGTCCGTACTGCCGATGATTCCCAAACTAGGATGAAACAGCTGCCCAGTACTCCCTGGTTTTCAATAGTTCTCTAACTGATATCAATCCGTGATCAACTCGTAAAAATATATATATATGCGAGAATAAACTTAAGGATATATAGATACCCTTGAGTTCTACTGAGACGTTTTGATCAGTAGTCTTCACCAGATCATGATGAAAAGTGTATTTAGCGATGACGTAGGCTGGCGGTGACGGTATATGTATATATCACGAATCCTGTAGTATGAATAAAGCAGAATGAACAGTTTGTTCAGCAAAATAAGATGCCACTATAGTTTGTTTCATCAGCTTCCCATCCACTGTGTACAGCCTAAAATGATTAAGTTTATGTATAGAAGAATTTCAACGTATTTACATGGGTAATGTGATATCAGCTGAGATAATATTATTATTATTCCCTTGGTTTCCGAGTGGAACATAGGGCTTCCACAACATGTCTACACTTTTCCCTATTTGGTGCTGTCCTCTTCATCTGTGTTAACGGTTGTCCATAATCTTTAATTTCCTCCACCTCCTGGACACATGACCCACTCGTCGCTTTCCATTGGCATTCCAATCGAGCGATGGCCTGCATTGTGGGTGATGTCATTTGTCAGCCTCCTCAACGTATCTCCATTCTATCCATCTCCATTTTCTCCTGAATATTTGTTGCGCGATCGGCTCTTGGTTGGTTTATTTCCAAAATTCCTGTAGTTGAAACGATACTTCCTAGATAACTGAAGGAATTAACATCTGTTAATTCTCTCCCTTTGATGGTGATTGCTGCTGGTTGTTGTTGCTGTTGGTTGGTTGGTTGTCTACATCAAATGCGTCTTCTCTGTATTCACCTGTAGTCCTGTCTTCGCTGCCTGCTCGCCACTTCTGCCAGTTTATTTGTTTCCGCGTTTAAGTCTTCGAGTTTGTGTGATATTAAACATAAATCATCCACATGCCGAATCCAAATCTTCTATAGTCTTCTTATTGGTCATCGCAATGTATTCCTATCTTCTCACTCTTCATGCACAGCCTGACGCATAATCACAAATAGGAATTTCATCAGTGATAATAGGCAGGCAGCCAGCTTGTCTTACTCCTGTATTCACTTCGAAAGCTGTGCTGAGTTTCCCATTCTGTACCACCTGACACCTGGTACTGTCATTTAGCTAGCTGCTGAATCAGGTTGGTGCAGATTTGGGGCGCCTCACTCCACAGTGTTGAAGTAGTTTCCGAATTACTCCCCGGTCAACGGTGTTTGTTGAAAGCCTTTTCAAAGCTGATGAAGTTAAGGTACGGGTACAGGCCGTCATTCTACGCTTTGTTCTGTGATGACTATGCGTAGAGTTGCAATTTGATCAGCTTGGATACAATAGCAAAAGAGCTGCGTAATAAAGACCAGAGGTGGATAAGATGATAAATGACTAATACGTTTAGTTGCAATGTGTTATGTACAACTCAATTCTCAGAAACAGGAGACAGTCAAAATTGTATTAAAGCGAAGTGGGAAAAGTTAAGGCCAAGGCTTACATAATCAGATAGGCAGCCTGCTTGCAACTTGGACTGCCACAATATTCCGCCAATATAATGTATTAAACTTCTCTTGTTCAGCTTGTAAAATCTACTTAAATGTAATGTTCTCTACTCTTGTGAGTATTTGAAAAGTCTATAACCTGCTGATTCAAAAGTGTCTACTAAAAGTGAGAAATGGCCAGATAGTGGGTGGCAAATTATTCTTAAAATACACAAGATAACTGTGCTCGAGATTTTTAGCACAAACTGCCACTAATTACGAGCAGTCTTCAAGTATTCAGCATTTCTTCACTCATTTCTTCAAAGAGACGAATTAGAAATATCATAAGGGATTGGTTTTCGCTTCAGGTTATACAGCGGCATGTCCGATGATTAACTGACAGTTACTGTTTTACTTGGAGATTCTAGGGGAAGAGAAACTGCAATAATTTACCCTGAAATTTCCGTACATTATATGAACATTGTTCAGAATATAGCTATTATTATTTAAAATAAAACGCAGAGTAAATAGTTATAGTAACCAGGGAGAGAAAAGATTGATAACGGCTCTTCTGTGAACACATGAATCGTGTTTCAGGCGTTTGATGCCAGTTGATTCGCCAAACCTGAGGTGAACAGAAGCGTTTTTTCCCACTGATGATTTTGAAGGATTTCAAAGTGTTTACCTCGTGACTCGTGTCGAGTAATACTTGGCAATGATATTATCGAAAGTGTTTATTCTTTTAAGACGTAGGTTTTTTGGTAAATGTTCAGAAAATTGAAGATATCCTCTTCTTCAGGCTGTATGCAGTTGATGAGATCAGTGATAGCACCATCTTATTCTACACTGACCATTGTTTCCACCTTAATAAAATTTAATTAAAGAAGATAAATGTATGAAATCTAAACAAGGTGCTGCATGATCAATGTACTGGTCTCGTAATTGAAATAACCGTGGTTCTGTCCTGAATTGGATCATAGTAACTCATTGCTGAAGAGTCTCCAGCTGAGACGGAACAGCTATCCAGTGCTTGTCAGTTTCCAATGATTCTCTCAATGGTATATTTTTATTACATGAAGTCTTTGGTAGGAATATACATCCCTGTCCAGTAAATTATGCCATCAAATTCATATTTAATTTCAAGTATGATCATGAAATGACTTTGTTAGAGAACCATTGAAAACCATCAAGGTTTATTAACATTTTTAGCCTGAAGCTGCTCAGTAAAACGCAACGGAGATCGAATCCAGGATCTACAGCAGGAACTAAAAGGTACACAGTCTGGCCTTGTGACATGAATGTCCTGGGGGTTAAGCTAAAATATAGCAATCCAGGTGTGCGAACGCATTAATAACCTTGAGCGCACACTATTCATTGGATAACGAGACCTATCATTATTATAGCGCCAATATGAACGCTGTTCATGAAGTGAGGCGTAAATTTCATCCCGATCTCGCTTTTAAATACTGTTTGGACAGTGTGTTGATAGCTCATTAGGATTAGGGTTAGGTTTAGAGTGGTGTCTTATTAATTATTCTCGGCATTTGTCTCCTAAATAGTTGTCGACCTTCTTACTGGAACCCATACTAATTTATTCGCTTCGGCTTTTCAGGAAGACTGAAAAAAACAAGATAAGACTGAAAAATGGGTCTCAAAAAGAACTCATCTTTAGTCACCTCAAACTTTGGCGTCCTGGATTCGATTTCTGGTGTAGTAATGGGTGCGTACTGATGAAGAGTCCTAAAGCTGGATGAAACAGCTATCCAATACTCCCTAATGGTTTCAGTAGTTATCTAAATTCAGTTCCTTCAGATCAGCTGTGAATTTATCTTTCAGATGTTAAAGCAGTACATTGTGTCCAGTGTTTGGAGTTAATTTAAGCTAAAAGTCATCGTCTTAAAACTTAGAATGGTTTGCATTCCTCATTCTGACTATTAATTCACTTAACAGATAGTCTAATTTCCAAAAAAAGAACAATCTTATTCTCTGAGCTCAAGCAGCTGAGTAATAACCTTTCATTGGCGGAGGGTGGGAGGGTAGCATCAATTCCTTTGAGGTTTCAGGTAAGCCTTGCTGACGAATACCAGTAAATACGAAATCTTTCAATCGCCTAGCATTATACCTATCTTAACCAGTATATTTCGCATTGTTCTGTACAATGAGCATTATTTATTTCAAGGTTATAGATACACATTGATTGGGGGGTAAACAATACAAGTATATAATTACTTTAGGTCTTTTGTTTATTATTATTATTATTATTATTGTTATTTCTGTTTTGTATTCTACTTGAAATATTGCTCTCTTTGTTTGTTCTTTGATTGTTATTGTAGCCTTAGATTTATTGGACAGATTATTATGCTTTGTTCCTTCGCGTCGAATAACCGTTGAAGATGCTCTAGCACATCCTTACCTGGAACAATACTATGATCCAACGGATGAAGTAAGTCTAGAGTTTTGCTGTGTACTTGAATATTTCTTTGTCAGTTAATTATAATCTTCAAGTTTTGGTTCTGTAGGAATTTTGTTTGATTGGATGGAGGACTTCATCATGAGTGGATATCAGTTACAGAACCATTGGAAAACCAGCTGGGGAGTATTCGACAGCTGTTTCGTCCTAGTTCAGGACTCTTCATCAGTACACACTCACTGGGGTTGGAACCCAGGACCCTCTGCTTGCTAGGCGAGCTCGTAGACCATTGATTACAGCGGAAATATTCATTCAGACATCTATAAAACACAAAATAATTGATCAAAGAATATTCTTTTCCATAACTTCCTCTTCTGGCTCTACAGTTACACATAGATATGTTTATATACACGCAGTATTCTAGAATAGTAGTCAATAACAATATTAGTGTTTTTTAAATAATATCGATTTGTTAATTAAGATTACAATGGAATTACAGTTCATTAAAGATGCCTAAATTATAATAATAATAATAAAGATATAATAGCAAATAGAATATCAAATAAAATTAAGAAAATTCCACAAAACTTGAGGATCATTCAAACCTAGATTTCTAGGCCATTAATGAGATTGGTTGAACTAACGTCTTTTGGAAATATAAATTAGCTTCTTAGTGGGGATCCTAACAGAAATTCTTAGCAATATTTAGTGAAAGAACTCTTAAGGCGAAGTTAAGATTTGTTGGTATGCGGTATGACTTTGAAAGCAGTCTGAGCCGGTGAGAACAATTGAGGCTTATTTTGCAAAAATATATTATACACAAGTAAAACCTACCTTAGACAAAGTGGTCTAGTGGATAACGCCTTTCAAGTATTGGATTATAGGTATTCCATTTGATTGGTTACAGGATTTCATCATGAGCTGACATTGGTTAGAGAACTATTGGAAAACCAGCCACAGGGAGTACTGGACAGCTATTTCGTCAGCCTAGTTTTGGACTCTTCAGCAGTACACACCCACCGCCACAGTTCAAACTTAGGACTTTCTGGTTACACGGCGAGGTCGTAGACCATTAAGACACTGGGACCCACCAATCCAATAGCCCATGAATTCTAACTTCTGCGACCACTAGACAATGTCATCGCTAGCAAGTATTTGTCCTCACACCCAACCTGCTGCACCCTACTGGTCACAACTTCCCACTAGAACCCCAGGTAACTACCTACCTGAATAGGGCCAGTAGCCAGTGAGCATCTCATCGATATTCAATTATTGGCTTGTAGGGATTTGATTGGTTGGTTACAGGATTTCATCATGAGCTGGGTGGTCCGGGGATCGATCCCTGGCCACCGTAGCACTCTTAATCGTCACTCAACTTGCAGTAAACCCAATAGAGACAGAAGGTTGAGCATGAAGCCACCAACCCCATCTCGTAAAAAACACCACTTGTACCGAAAATTCAAAGCTCTAATTTGAAGCCCAGTGTTCCACTGGGAACTCAAAGAAATAGGAAAAAATTACCCACTTCGGAATGTTCACTTAATAAATGGGCAATTGAATTAGTTGCCTAAATTCGGACTTCAATGGTTGTATAATCTCATTATAATAAATATTCCGGCTTAGCGTCATAGTTTAAGTTTGTCCAAATTGGTTTTTGAGATTGCTTTTGGCTTATCTTAAATGCAAATTTTGGACAATGCTGTTAAAAGACGGAGTTTTTCTAAAAAATAATGTGAAATATTTGCGTAATACATTGATTAAGACCGTTGATGTTCTTTGTGACCATATATCTTCTAGTTGTTTTTCATTCCCTTTGCCTTTTCATTCTCGAAGGTGATCACGTTCGACAAGTAGATAGTGTCACTATGAGGAGTCCATTAGGACCTTTGTTAGAAGATGTTTATATGTCTTATGTTGAAAACTTGTCCCTTGATTTAATTGCTTAAGTACCCTTCTATAGGGGATATATAGATGCTACTATTTTGGTATGCGATAATCATGAGGATGCTAGTCTTCTATTGGACAGACTTTACTCCGTATAGAATCACATAAGTCTTACATGCCAGGAAGTAAGTCGCAACTAGCTTGAATTCCTAGACATAATTCTGAGTCGAAGAGGCAATAGTTCAATAAGACGATCAATTTACAGAAAGCCTACTTGGACAGGGAAATACTTAAATTTTCACAGCTTCTCTCCACTACAGTATAAGAGAGGCTTGGTGAAATGCTTATTCAAGAGAATTCAGCCTATTTGCACAGCTGATTTTACAGAGAAAGAAAATGAAATATTGGTGGATACTCTTGTTGAAAAAGGATATTCTTTTAAAATTTGTAAACAGACATAGAAGTCAGTTAGTTTAAAACCTATAATTTGTTTCGCCCCTAAGATGTCTTAATCAAATTACCGTACAATTAGGAAATAGTAGGATTTTGAGGCAGAGATCAAAAACACGGTCATTCATAGGAACCATAATGCACCTCGGGCTAGTAATCATTGAAAAAGCCAAAAATATGCTTCACTACAAACCTGAAAAGTCCACAAGTGATTGTGTCACATCCCACACTATTTACCAATTTATGTGTTGTGTGTGTGTGAGACACACATACATAGGGAGGAGTAATCGCCCTTTGAATGTTACGGTGGGAGAGTATATTCCGAAGTGGTTAGAAAAACAAGGGAATTGTGGAAAATCAATCGACGCAGGTGGCAAACTAACAACTTCGTCTATAGTCAAACGTCTAATCGATATGAATCATAAGATTGACGTCAGTACAGCTTTTAAGCTTATTATTGAAAATAGTCAAGGGCACTTATTGAAATACACTGATGCAATACCTAGCTATTCATTAACTTAAGCCCCTTCATCTCCCCCTCCATGTGTTAAGAAACAATTTATTAATATTTAAGAGTTGGTTTGTAAGGATAAGATTTGTGTTTCTTTCGAGTTTGACCACGGATTGATATCAATTAGAAAAGCATTGAAAACCAGCACTCAAGTACTGGACAACTAGCTATTTCGTCCTATTTGGGGATCATCGGCAGTACTACTCACGGATTTCGAATCCAGGACTTCTGGTTGCAAGGCAAGCTCGTATACCATTCAGTCACTGGGACTCGATTCAATGGCCCATGAATTCTAGATCATCTACCGAATCCATGCTAACTTGCTGCTCACAATTTCTTCGTTGCAGACTTCTAAAGACAGCGGAGGCCTTGGCCATTCATGAATTTAAGCCAGCCACACCTTTGTGTACAAAAGAAGTATGTACAATCCCTACTTCTGCCTTGGCCGTAGAGGGATAGACATTTATTTATTTTATTTTGTTTATTTAGTCAATCTGTGTACCAATGTCATCGGTGGGACATCCATCCTCACACTTGAATGGATGGACCTCACTGGTCACGACTTCTCACTAGAATGGTATACGAGCTTGCCTTGCAACCGGAAGGTCCAGGGTTCAAACCGTGGCAGTGATTGTGTACTGCTACTGATTCCCAAACTAGAATGACGAGACAGCTAGTCCAGTACTCCCTGTGGCTGGTTTTCAATGATCCTCTAACTGATATCAATCCGTGATCAACTCGTCAAAACAAATCTAATCCTTACAAACCAAGTATAGAAGACATTTACGTTGAAATGAAGTTTTTTGTTGAATTCACTACTTTCCACAAAGTTCATTTTCTGACAGCGTGTGACTGAAGTAAACCTTCCTTTTGCTAACTAAAGAAACTTCTGGATTCTAATCAGGAAATAAAGAAATTGTTTATTTGTTTTGTGACTAATCTCAGCCTCAAATAATAATATTCATTATAATAAAGGTTTTTATTGTATTTCCAAATGAATGAAAAACAAAATGATATTGTCGTTTTCACTGACATTTCGCTATTTAATGTTGCTGCTAATAACTTTATCAAAGTATTATTAAACCGGAATTTACAAAATCTCAGCATATATATAACAAAGAGTTAAGGGGTGAGAAAATAGACAAGTTAGGTCAAGTTAAAAGGACATATTGAAAGTCAAAATAACAATGGAGATCACTAAACCGAATAACAAAGGTAATAGTACGTCTGTTATGATATCAAAATAACGTTGACTAACTTGATCATCGTTCGTCTATCTGGGGGCGTTTTTTGTTGTCAAGTTGGTCCATTGGTAAAGATAACAAAACCAAGTGTAGACTGTTGGATTTGACCCCAGACTAACTAACGATGATCAAGTTAGTAAACTTTATTTTGATACCATAACAGATGTACTATTACCTTTTTACGAGTTGATCACGGATTGATATCAGTTAGAGAACCATTGTAAACCAGGGAGTACTGGACAGCTGTTTCATCCCAGTTTGGGAATTATCAGCAGTACGCATCCACTGGGATTCGAACCCAGGATCTTCCGGTTGCAAGGCAAGCTCGTATACCATTCAGCCACCGATTCAACCATATACCATTCAACCCGATTCCGTGATCAACTCGTAGAAACATAACTAACCCTTACAAACCAAACTATAGAAAATTAATCTGATGCTCGCTAGTGACTTGATACAGGATGGAGTTTCCTGGAATTCTAGTGAGAAGTCGCGACCAGTGAGGTCCATCCATATGTCACGTGTGAGGATGGATATCCCACCGACAACACTGGTTGGGGTCGCGCTACATCTCGTGAAATCATAACTAACCCTTACAAACCAAACTATTACCTTTTTTGTTTGGTTTCATGATCTTCGTTGGTATTTTAACTTTCAATATGTTCTTTTAACTTGACCTAACTTGTCTATTTTCTCACCCCTTAACTCTTTGTTATATATATGCTGAGATTTTGTAAATTCCGGTTTAATAATACTTTGATAAAGTTATAAGCTATTAGCATTAAATAGCGAAACGTCAGTAAAAACGACAATATCGTTTTGTTTTTCATTCATTTGGAAATACAATAAAAACATTTATTGTAATGAATATCATATACCCAATGCCCGAATTTCTTCACACTGTTAAAAGTGAACTTGGTTAGGACATATATAATAATATTAAT